CACACACACACACACACACACACACACAATTACATGAAGGTAAAACGTCATTTAAACAGTCTGCCTCATTTCTGAAGAATGAGCTATGAGCTATGGGATGACTAACTTTAATTTGCAATATTATGAATGTTTGCAATTTGCTTTTATCATCTTCACATTATAACAATTATGTTAAATTATTAAGATGGGGGAAAATATATGTATGGGCTCCAATTGTCCTAGCAGAATATAAAATAAATTATTAAGACAAAATGTTTAACCAGATTGGTTGGAGAACATTGCTGAAAAATCAAGTGGCATTACTTTGCACACATTCATTGTGAGCCTTCAACCATCACATCACAGACACAGATGAAGTGCACGGTCACAAATATGTCAGGCCCTCTTGTTTGTCAGCCACATGATAAAGAAGTAGGAAAACTAATCATGACCAAAGGAGTGAAAGGTTATGCTGAAGCAATTAGACCTTGGTGGTGGTCCATGAGTCAGCCCATAAAACAATAGATCTAAACCAGACACAGAAAGCAGGCACTGAGTTACAAAAGGAGGAAAGACGTGTCAAATAAATATAAAAGTACTGAGATTTTAATAGCCTCAATTATAAAACAGAATATTAAGGGCCTAAAACATGTCATGTGCACATGATTATATGTTAGTTGCTGTTAGGGTCAAAGTCTGTATGTTAGCGCCAGTTATCTAGCTTGTAATTGGAAAACCATGTTCCTAAAGAAAGTGAATGATATCAAAGCAAACTGAACAAAACTACAAAATCGAGACCAAAATTACCTCATGGCACAGGCCTTATAAAATGTCACCATTTGGAAATATCAAAAATGTTTTATGACAAAATGGTATACAGCATTTCAACAGGACTGAGGAGCCGATAAAGGGTTTAAATCATTCAAGTGTGCTTTCCTTTTTGCTGTTTCTCACAAAGACTTGATTTTGTGATGTACAGGAAAATCATGCTCATGACATGTATCAATTGTTACTATCAGAAGTTATCTAGCCAATAATATGATTCTTTTATATATTTTTGATATTTTATTTAAATCTTTTTAAAAAATCACATTGGCATGCGTGTGCTAACATAAAATAAAATGAAATAAAATAGAAATAAAATAAATACATACACACTGTTTAAAATAAAGTAATACTTTTATTCAGCAAGGACACAATACATTGATCAAAAGGGACAGTAAAGACATGTTACAAAAGTTTTCTATTTAAAATAAATGCTGTTCTTTTGAACTTTCTAATCATCAAAGAATCCTGAAAAAACAACGTAGAAGTTTGCACGAAAATATTAAGCAGCGACTGTTTTTAACAATGATAATTGCTTTTTGAGCAGCAAATAAGCATATTAGAATGATTTCTGAATGATCATGTGACACTGAAGACTAGAGTAAGGGGCGCAGAAAGATGTTTTCGGTTGGGGGTGCTGTGTGTGTCCCTATACAGTCTATGGCAGGGATCCTCAAATCTGGCCCACGAGATCCACTTTACTGCAGAGTTTAGCTCTAACCCTAATCAAACACACCTGAGCATGCTAATCAATGTCTTCGGGATCATTAGAAAATCACAGGTAGGTGACTTTGATCAGGGTTGGAGCTAAACGCTGCAGCGCATTGGCCCTCCAGGGCAAGATTTGAGGAACCTTGGTCTATGGTGTGTCCGTGTTGGGGGTCACCTCATTTGACAACTCCACAAAGCACTACAAGTCCGTCGATATGAACACTCGTTTAAGTGGCATACAAACTGGGAAATTTGACTGCAAATCACATTTTTGAAATTATCGATAATAGCTGATCAATCTCGGGGGTTGGGCTGGGTCCGCTAGGCTTACTTGTCTCCGTGCTCGTGCTGGAGCTGGATGCCGATTTTGGAAAGTTTTTGCTGGGATGGGCATTCTAAAAAATCTGAAATTCGCTTTTGCGCCATTATCTCCTTGTATTAAAGTTAATCTTGTTCGCATTCTGTATAGTTCATGTCTGATATACCACGCGCCAGCATCACGTGTTCATGAGGATTAGGCTAATCATCCCATATAGAAAACATCACAAGTAAAATTAATCATGTTTATAAAGATAAACATGGGTTTATTATAGCCCACTTACAATTTACATTTCAGAGATCGTTACAAATAAATGATTAAATGCTAAAACGGAATCAATTTAAACGAACAAACTTGGCCTTGCATTTGCAACCATGTGAAAACAGGGGGTGCTGCAGCCCCCTCAGCACCCCTACTTCCCACGTCCCTCAATTTAGCTCACATGATTAAAATTACATTTTAAAAATACATTAAAATATTAAAACAGGTTTTTAACATTGTAATAATATTTAACAGTATTACTGTTTTACTGCATTTTTGACCAAATAAATGCAGCTTTGATGAGCATAAGTGACTCCTTTCAAAAACTTTCTTATTAACACCAAACCTTTGAACAGTGTATAAAATAATTACAAACTGTCCCTAGAGTAAACAGAGCCATAGTTTTTTCTGGGTGAGTTTCCACACAATCCCTGTCAGTTGTGAGGAGCACAGTAACATAAGCAAATCCTAATACTCAGATGTACTGTAGAAGGTCAGTGACATGATCTCAACGGAAAACATTCCCCACCTCGATCCATTATATCCCTAATTTGGGTGTAAAACTGACAAAGGCACTTTGGAGATTTATGTGCTTCTTTGTACTGTTGACTCCCATGTGTGCAGTCTGTTAAGATGGTGACTGGACAGGCTAGCTAAGATTTTTTTTAACACAGCACAGACACCTTTAATCTGCCTCACAAAAAAAAAACCTCACAGTTACTTGTTTGGATTAGATCTGGCCTCCACACATGGAGAAAGCATAGAGGGCAATTAAAAACACACTGTATCCCTGCTGGTGGCCTTTTGCACTGGCAATGGCTTCCACACTTTTAAGCAGGGCACGTCTGCTAAATAGATAAAGCGTCATTTAGCTTCTGTTACACTTTGCCCGCCGTCAAGCAGAAGTTACACATCCGGCCACTTGAAGCCGCCCTCTGTTTATTTGCTTATACAGCTTGGTAGGAGGCCATTTGTTTGGTCGTTAAGACTGATTGCCACCTGCACCTGTCTCAGACAACGTTGTTTGTTACAAAGTCTGCTACTTCATTCGAAGCTGCAGGGGAAGATCTGATGGGCGGGGAAGCCTGAAGTGAGGGATGACTCTCTGTTCCACAGCTTTTCACTCTCTCTTACCGGTTTGTCTGTTTGAATCAGCCTTTGCACAAAAGATGGAGTAAGTGGCCATAGGGTAATTCTATACCGCATTTACCTCCAAATACAGCAGCAGGATGAAGTGAATCATTTGGTTCAGATAAACAAATTTGTGCAAACCTCAGCTCTGCCCGGCTCTGGCCTCAAATGTGTCTTAAAATGCAGCATAAGTACTTTAACATGAGATGACCGAAAGTAAACTACTGGTAGATAATACTGGTTGTATGTATTTTAAGAGAGCGATTTACACAGTGAAAGCCATTTAATCCAATTTTTGAAGTGTGTGATCCTTAGTTCTGAGTCTTAATCATACTTTCTAATCTTAGTCCTATTGACATATGATTATCTCATAACCATACATGAAAAATTAAAATGGTCTGGTCCATTTCATATAATTCTACATTATTTCCCCGCTTTTTACATGCCTTCTACATCACTTCATATTTGTTTTTGTCTGTATGGATGCCAATTTCTTAAAAAAAAACAAGTAAGAACAGGTCTGTTTTGTTTCTTTCATGGTAAGCCACGCCATGCTATGCCTGAGTGCACAAATCATTCTAGTCTTCCATGTGAGCCCAGCTATCTAGTGTAGGAAGATGCTATAATTACATCTAAATCAGTGATTCTCAATGACTGCTGTTGTTTTAGCATTTGACTTGCTTCTGTTTTACTGCCAGACCGCTTTGGGCTCCGGATTTTCCTCTTCAGAGGCCAACAACATGCACCAAATGTTTCACATTATCGGTGTGAAAATCCCCCAATTCTTTCGCTTTTTTTCCTTACAGGTCCATGCATCCGTGGAAACTTGATATTTCATATTTCATTCTGGTTTGTGGATGTCATCACGAGAGACGCTGGTTCACATGCAACCGGCCGCCCCAGTCCTTTGATCAGCCTGACCACGACTAATTACGAATGGAGAACAACTGAAAGAAATATCGAGAGATTTCATGGGAATTGGCACAATGGCCCAAGCTTCCTAATTCCGAGCGGTCACTGAATGTTAATTGAAGAGGTAATGTGTCTTTTCAAACAGTGTTATGGTGTAAAATATAAAAGAAATAACACCAGTTGATGATCAAGTATGCATTAAAGTACATTTGTCAGTGCCAAATAAACATCACATGACACAACAATTAGATTCTGTTCTACAAAACAGGTTTCAGATCCAAATTGAAAGTGATCGTACTACAAAGATGATCTGTCGAATGTGACTATTTGAGCTTATAACTAAAACCATGTTGAAACTTTGACCAGGAAAGGC